ACAGAAACACACGTTGTGTCTCACCTGTGGAGCTCTAAAGACAGAAACACACGTCGTGTCTCACCTGTGGAGCTCTAAAGACAGAAACACACGTCGTGTCTCACCTGTGGAGCTCTAAAGACAGAAACACACGTCGTGTCTCACCTGTGGAGCTCTAAAGACAGAAACACACGTTGTGTCTCACCTGTGGAGCTCTAAAGACAGGAACACACGTCGTGTCTCACCTGTGGAGCTCTAAAGACAGAAACACACGTCGTGTCTCACCTGTGGAGCTCTAAAGACAGAAACACACGTCGTGTCTCACCTGTGGAGCTCTAAAGACAGAAACACACGTTGTGTCTCTCAGCTGTGGAGCTCTAAAGACAGAAACACACGTCGTGTCTCACCTGTGGAGCTCTAAAGACAGAAACACACGTTGTGTCTCTCAGCTGTGGAGCTCTAAAGACAGAAACACACGTTGTGTCTCACTTGTGGAGCTCTAAAGACAGGAACACACGTTGTCTCTCACCTGTGGAGCTCTAAAGACAGAAACACACGTTGTGTCTCACCTGTGGAGCTCTAAAGACAGAAACAAACGTTGTGTCTCACCTGTGGAGCTCTAAAGACAGAAACACACGTCGTGTCTCACCTGTGGAGCTCTAAAGACAGAAACACACGTTGTGTCTCACCTGTGGAGCTCTAAAGACAGGAACACACGTCGTGTCTCACCTGTGGAGCTCTAAAGATAGAAACACACGTCGTGTCTCACCTGTGGAGCTCTAAAGACAGAAACACACGTCGTGTCTCACCTGTGGAGCTCTAAAGACAGAAACACACGTTGTGTCTCTCAGCTGTGGAGCTCTAAAGACAGAAACACACGTTGTGTCTCACTTGTGGAGCTCTAAAGACAGGAACACACGTTGTCTCTCACCTGTGGAGCTCTAAAGACAGAAACACACGTCGTGTCTCACCTGTGGAGCTCTAAAGACAGAAACACACGTTGTGTCTCACCTGTGGAGCTCTAAAGACAGAAACACACGTCGTGTCTCACCTGTGGAGCTCTAAAGACAGAAACACACGTCGTGTCTCACCTGTGGAGCTCTAAAGACAGAAACACACGTTGTGTCTCTCAGCTGTGGAGCTCTAAAGACAGAAACACACGTTGTGTCTCACTTGTGGAGCTCTAAAGACAGGAACACACGTTGTCTCTCACCTGTGGAGCTCTAAAGACAGAAACACACGTCGTGTCTCACCTGTGGAGCTCTAAAGACAGAAACACACGTTGTGTCTCACCTGTGGAGCTCTAAAGACAGAAACACACGTCGTGTCTCACCTGTGGAGCTCTAAAGACAGAAACACACGTCGTGTCTCACCTGTGGAGCTCTAAAGACAGAAACACACGTTGTGTCTCTCAGCTGTGGAGCTCTAAAGACAGAAACACACGTCGTGTCTCACCTGTGGAGCTCTAAAGACAGAAACACACGTTGTGTCTCACCTGTGGAGCTCTAAAGACAGAAACAAACGTTGTGTCTCACCTGTGGAGATCTAAAGACAGAAACACACGTCGTGTCTCACCTGTGGAGCTCTAAAGACAGAAACACACGTTGTGTCTCACCTGTGGAGCTCTAAAGACAGAAACACATGTTGTGTCTCACCTGTGGAGCTCTAAAGACAGGAACACACGTCGTGTCTCACCTGTGGAGCTCTAAAGATAGAAACACACGTTGTGTCTCACCTGTGGAGCTCTAAAGACAGAAACACACGTTGTGTCTCACCTGTGGAGCTCTAAAGACAGAAACACACGTTGTGTCTCACCTGTGGAGCTCTAAAGACAGAAACACACGTCGTGTCTCACCTGTGGAGCTCTAAAGACAGAAACACACATTGTGTCTCACCTGTGGAGCTCTAAAGACAGAAACACAAGTTGTGTCTCACCTGTGGAGCTCTAAAGACAGAAACACACGTCTCTGCAGTATCATTACATGGCTCTCTGCTAAGCGCTAAACAAACAATAATACCTAAAAAAGTAATCTCCCTTTTCTCAAATCACGTCCCTGTTCCTGGAGGTAATCCTTGTTGAGAGCCGCTCGTATAGGAACTGTGACCTACTTGAAGAATATCCAATCAAGATTATTTTTGACTGATATTGTTATTACGATATGATTCACGATATCATCTTTACCTCCTTTATTTTCATGAACGAGTGCCATACTCGCCCCTGTTTCTCTCAGCTGTCGTAGAAATGCATTTCAAAGTGAAGGTAGAATGTAAAGTGTGACGGCCTTAGACTCAGACTCCTGTTAGCCCCTCCCCCAATCAGGAGAGGTTGACTTTGATTTGGGCTGACTGCTCAGCTACAGGTAGGTGCCTGAGCAGTCAGTCTCTCTCCTCTTGGGTTGCTTGGCTCTACTGGACCTTTATACACTGATGCATGTTCACACACACACACACACACACACACACACACACACACACACACACACACACACACACACACACACATTACTGATTAACTGACTTCATAGTTAATTGAGCTTCTTTAAATAAATGCACTTCAATTGGATGAACCATGTGTGGTCTCCTTCTTTCGTCCGTCCTTGAGCCAGGGCATGACAAAAGTGAATCCTAGAAATGGAGACGTTTAGGTGATGAGCTGCAGACTCAGAAATCCTTTAAAGAATATCTAATATTTTCATAAAAACAGGCAGAAAACAATCATGCCGTCTCCACGAAGAGAGGATCGTTTTAATGCATGAAAAGAAAGACACTTTTGAACTAAAATCCATTTGAAACTTCATGAATCTTTGATCGTTGCTTTTCTATTTTGGGAAAGTTCTACTTTTCTCCAAGCTCTGATTCAGAGTCACAGAGGAGCTGAGATAATATGAAATGTGAAGGGATTCATTTCAGAGCCAGATCTCATCAGGACGGGGCGGAAGGAGAGAGGAGGGAGAGAGGAAGGAGAGAGGAAGGAGAGAGGAAGGAGAGAGGAGGGAGAGAGGAAGGAGAGAGGAAGGAGAGAGGAAGGAGAGAGGAAGGGAGAGAGAAGGAGAGAGGAAGGAGAGAGGAGAGAGAGAGGAAGGAGAGAGGAGGAAGAGGAAGGAGAGAGGAAGGAGAGAGGAAGGAGAGAGAGAAGGAGAGAGGAATGAGAGAGGAGAAGGAGAGAGGAAGGAGAGAAGGAGAGAAGGAGAGATAATGGAACGGGATTAATACAAACTAATTATTGGAAAGTAAACATATCTTTATGCTCCTTCTCCCTCCCTTCTTTTCACCCTTAATAATTGTTATTGAATAAAGATATCAGAACTATATATATAAGAAGTCTCTGTCCACGTTTCAATTAGCAAAAGTCACAGTGTGCCTCCTCAAAGAAAAGCATTATCTTCTGCACATTTATGTTATTTGTGCCTCTACCGTTTATTGCTCACCCTCTTTGCATGGAGTAGTGTCTGTGTGCAGGGTATCTTTAATCTGCTATTTTAGTTACGTCACTAATATTGCATCTTTCAATTCAATTCAATTCAAAACCTTTATTTATACAGATAAAACCCATTGAGATCATAGACCTCTTTTACAATGGTGACCTGCTTCAATTAGTTCCAAACATTAATACAAACATGACAGAAAACAAAGGACATTATATGATACTACAGTTTGTATACTAGTAGCATTTACAGACACCAATATTTTCTGATTGTATAGCGTCTATCCTAGCTTTAAAAACATGAAATGGAATCAAACTGCTTAGCTTCCATTCCTTTTGCAGACTGTTCCATGCTAGCGGCGCTGCGCATCTAAAAGCTGTATTTCCTAATACAGTCCTAGCAGTTGGCACATGTAATACAACCACAGCTTTAGATCTCAGGCAGTAGCCATTTACAATACGCTGTGAGATCAGGGAACAGATGTAAGATGGAAGTTTCCCTAACATTGCTTTATAAATAAAAATATACCAGTGATTTAGCCGCCGTACAGTAAGTGAAAGCAACCCTGCCCTTGTATACAGGGTACAATGATGAGTCAAAGTCTTACAGTCTGTCACAAACCTTAGTGCACTATGATAGGCGGCATCTATCTTGGTGAGGTAATTGGCCGGCGCATTCATATAAAATAGATCACCATAGTCCAGCACAGGTCCAAAGGTCACAGAGCCTTTTCCTGGCCTCAAGAGAGAAACAGGACTTGTTTCTATAAAAAAAACCTAGCCTAACCCTCAGTTTTTTAAGCAGGTTATTTACATGCAGTTTAAAAGAAAGACAGTCATCAAGCCAGATACCAAGGTATTTATAAGAGGTTACCACTTCAAGTTTTTTTCCTTGCATGGTTACAATATCTAAAACAGGCTCTGGTGACTTTTTAGCTTTTGAAAAGAGCATTAACTTGGTTTTATCCACATTTAAAAGAAGCTTAAGCGCTGAGAGCTGAGTCTGAACAGTGTTAAAAACAGTCTGTAATTTAACAACAGCCTCCTTAACTGAGGTACCTGCACAATACATCACAGTATCATCCGCATAAAAATGTAAGGTAGCTTCCTCCACATTATCACCCAAGCTATTATCTTCCCTTTAATCTTTCAGTTTGCACCCTCTTGTTATTCTGAAGTTCAGTGTGTATGCTCCAAGTGACGCATCATGTGTCCTCAATGCATCTGCTTTATTTCCAACGTGTGCACCTCTTACTGCCGAGTGCTTGAAGGCACCCTGTGGAGTTAACAGTAAGGTCTCAAAGTGTGCTTCCTTATGAAAGCATTAGCAAACATGTGTAAAGTATTTTGAACTGTGTCGCTGTGTTGGTGCTCACCGTCTCCGCGTGGAACAGCAGAGTCCTCTATATGTTGAATGTGTGGAGGCGCATCGTTGTGTGCATGAAAACTCTCCTGCAGAATATCTCTAACGTCCTGATGATTCAGTCTGCTTTTCTGTGTGCACGCTGTGAGGAACCTGAGCTCCTCCTCCTCCTCCTCCTCCTCCTCCTCCTCCTCCTCCTCCTCCTCCTCCTCTTCTCATTGTGTTTCTCTCCAGGTAAAGTCTTCCTGGGCAACAAGAGGGAGATAGCAGAGAGCAGGATCCCTGAACTCAACACGTACATGAAGGTGACCTTTTCAAACGTCTGCAGTGAACTCACCTTTATGTATTGAGTATTTACATGTAGCTTCCAGTGTGCGAACTAAACAAATAATATGAAACACCATTTAATTATACATGTTTGTCTTAACATATATTAATCCCCCCCCAGAGGCTGCTGGGCCTCCCAACATGGCTGCTATTGGACGAGGCTCTCCGGATGTTTTTCTATCAGACGGAGCAGGACGGGCAGCATCAGCCCAGAGCTCTGAGGAGACTCCGCCCCCCCACCCGAAAAGTGTAAGCACCCCCCAACACTACACAAATATGAAACCTGTCACCATACGATAACGATACGATACGATACGATAATACTTTAATGGTCGGATCAGGTCTGAAATGCTCCTTGCATCACAGCAGCTCCATGTGTCACATCAACACACAAACATCAACACACAAACATCAACACACAAACATCAACACACAAACATCAACACACAAACATCAACACACATGAGAAACAAACAACAAACATGTAACATCACAGCAGGATCAGAGAGAGCTGCTCAAAGAGCCTTCAGCGTGCATCTGATCTGTAGCTCTGTGTTCACTGAGAGGACTGTCTGGAGCACAGAGGATGCTTCAGGCTGGAGCACAGAGGATGCTTCAGGCTGGAGCACAGAGGATGCTTCAGGCTGACCGGAGCACAGAGGATGCTTCAGGCTGACTTTATTCAATCTCCATTAGATGGTAGCAGTTCAGATTCTCTGTTCAGAACACTATGGCCAGTGATTGGTCAACCGCTTAGAGATGTCCCGCCCCTTAGCCTATCACGTACAATGTGTCGGAGCGCTAGCCAATAGAAGGGTGAGTGTTACAAAGTGATGTTCCGGAAGTAAACCTATGCGTCCACTGGAGGCGTCTGGAGGGAACACATGTGGATTTTAGCCTCTGCAGACCATTAACATGCACTAACACCTATAGAGTCACATGACTTGACTCGAGTCACATGACTTGACTCGAGTCACATGACTTGACTCGAGTCACTTGACTTGACTCGAGTCACATGACTTGAGTCACTTGACTTGACTCGAGTCACTTGACTTGACTCGAGTCACATGACTTGACTCGAGTCACATGACTTGACTCGAGTCACTTGACTTGACTCGAGTCACATGACTTGACTCGAGTCACATGACTTGACTCGAGTCACTTGACTTGACTCGAGTCACATGACTTGACTCGAGTCACTGACTGACTCGAGTCACTTGACTTGACTCGAGTCACATCACTTGACTTGACTCGAGTCACATGACTTGACTCGAGTCACTTGACTTGACTCGAGTCACTTGACTTGACTCGAGTCACATGACTTGACTCGAGTCACTTGACTTGACTCGAGTCACATGACTTGACTCGAGTCACTTGACTTGACTCGAGTCACTTGACTTGACTCGAGTCACATGACTTGACTCGAGTCACATGACTTGACTCGAGTCACTTGACTTGACTCGAGTCACATGACTTGACTCGCATATTTTTGGACTCGAGACTTGCTTGACTAGCATTGATAAAAGACTTGACTTGACTTGGACTTGGTATTCATGACTTGAGACTTGACTTGAGACGGATGACTCGAAAGGACTTCACTTAAAATTAAATATTTGCATTTGTTTTTGTATCGCACGGAGCCCCTAAAGGGCAATGGAAAAAAAAAGATACTGTATCTCGTTCCCACGAGAGCGTCAAGTAGGACGTGGAGCGCACAGGAGACAGCCGCTTCATCGCAGACTGTTATGCTTATGTTGGGAAATGGCAGTGCACACATTATTTTAGATATATTTCGAACTCGGACTCTCATTCACTTCATGAAATCGCTACATCACCAGGAGGCAGCGGGACGTGTAACTCCGCCTCTGAGAGGTGCAGCACCTTGCGACTTGCTTGACCTGAGCAATGACTTGACTCTCACCACAGTGACTTGGGACTTGCTTGAGACTTGTAGGTTAAGACTTGAGGCTTGCTCATGACTTGCACATGTAAGACTTACTCCCATCTCTGCATATTACCCTTTTTTTTAAGAAGCACAAAATCATTGTGGTGATGATTGACATTATGCCAATCACTTCCCACAATACATTACAGAAAGTTAAGAAAGGTTCGGGGTTAGTTTCTTCACTCTGGTAGAAGTTAACAGCAGATCTACACTAAACAGAAACTCTACGTAGCAGAAAGCAGCTGGATTGTCTTCAGGAGCGAGATATTGAATCGTAAATAAAGGTCAGTTGCATTTCATTTACGAGGGTTTAAATACAACAAAAATAAACTGTTCGTGAACGCGGTGCATACCAGATCCACTATGACTGCTCCTACCTTTCTAAATAAGAGCGCAGAGTATATTTGCACATGTATAGGAATTACTAGTTAGATATGAACATCATATGCGTGCAGTAAGCTAAATGGTGCAGTATAAATACAGTGTTTACATGTATATGCTGTATTGACAGTGGCGAAAGTATTAATACACTATTGGTCAGATATATTGAAATGTTGATATGAATTTATTTACTGTTTATTTTCTATATCATTTGATTTGTAATTCATATACAATGCCTTGTGAACATGCTGCTCTAACAAAGCATGATTCTCTTTAGGATAAATACGTTGAATCTAATCAAATATATATAATTACACAATACAATACACTATTGCACGTTTATTGTGGTTTTATCCCACAGAGCCTTTAGAGAAATACAATTAAGTTTAATGCATGTAATAATCTTTAAGATGTTTTTATCTAAGCTTCAGATATAGGAAGGTACCTAATTATACAAAGTGTTAGCAGTAAAAAGGAGCCATCCTTGATGATTTCGGTTTAAAACTGAAGCAGAAGCAATTAATGATGAAGGGTCTATTTGAGGGCCTTCGTGTTCCCTACACAGATTTGCATAAATGTGTTTGTGAATGAGAAATCCTGCAGTAAAAGCAACTTGAGCCCGTAGAAGCGAAGATGGAAAAGTGCCTCCTTTTATCTGTTCACCCTCATTAGAATCAATCCGGTGCCATTAGGCTTCATGAGAGCAGTTTGCATCCCGTGCAATTATGAATAAAAAGTGAATAAATTAAATCGTGTTTTGATTTTAAAGTAGTCAGAAACGATGGGGTTCATGTCGTGTTTGAATGAGGAGGTCAAGTGAGAACAAGCAATAACACGATAAGCCTGTAAAGAGGAAGAGGGTGGAAGATAACGGACTTTCCCTCAACATCAAGGGCTTAACCTTGAATTTTACTGAAAGATATCATTTATATTAAACAGGTACGCAAATATACTCTGCGCTCTTCATGTAGTGATTTCCCTCTTTCGTAGTGTGTTCTATTACGACGGAGTATTAGGGCCACACTTAGAAGAAAAAAGAGAGAGATTTCGAGAATAAAGTCGTAGTTTCATAAGTGACTTGAGAAGCGGACTTGGAGGAGATTGTCTGGAGCCAGGAGGAAATGGCTGGTTCTGGTCGACTACATTACATCACATTTAGCTGACGCTTTTATCCAAAGCGACTTACAATAAGTGCGTTCGACCAACAAAATACAAACTTGAAGAAAACAGAATCATAAAGTACATCAGGTTTCATAGAGCCAAACATTTCAAGTGCTACTCAACTGGCTTTAGATAAGCCAGTCCTTTATTAGTATATAAGTGCTTTGTTAATAGTTCTATCGCTCGAAGTGGAGTCGAAAGAGATGAGTTTTCAGTCTGGAAGATGGGTAAGCTTTCTGCTGTCCTGAGGTCAATGGGGAGCTCAGTCCGATTCCACTACAAGGCTATCGTTCGACTCCTCCTCGATCCAAGGCCTTGATTACAAGTCTCATCGTTTCTTGTGAAACAACAAATCCCCTTTGAACAGCTCGTAGATGTAACCAGAAGCAGTCATGTCCTCCTGCAGAAAGGAGACACTATCCTCCAAGTCTGTTTGGTTCTTTCTTCGAAATAATAGACATCGTTTCTTGCACAACCTTTTCAAAGTTCTAATACTTATGATAATCTGATGCTGATGTGCCAAAAGATTAAGTATTTCGCTATTTGAGAAACCTAAACTAAAGTAGTGCTTCACAAGATGCTCCACATTCCTCATGTTATTGCATGACGCTGCTGTTGGCTCCTTCTCAAGTCACTTATGAAACTACGACTTTAATCTCGTATTATTACGACGTTATTCTTGAAATCTCTCTGCTTTTTTTCTCTAAGTGTGGCCCTAATACTCTGTTGTAGTTCTATAGGTGTTAGTGCATGTAAATAGTCTGCAAAGGCTAAAATTCCGAAGTTCAGAAAATAGTGACATCACTATGTAACACTTGCACTCCTATTGGCTAGTACTTCAACACATTGTACATTATAGGTTATGGGGCAGGACATCTCATACACCTGCACTTCAGCAGGAGAGCACTCTTTAAAGTAGAGACACTACATACTGATATACACCTGAACATCAGCAGGAGAGGACTCTTTAAAGTAGATACACTACACACTGATATACACCTGAACATCAGCAGGAGAGGACTCTTTAAAGTAGAGACTCTACATACTGATATACACCTGAACATCAGCAGGAGAGGACTCTTTAAAGTAGAGACACTACATACTGATATACACCTGAACATCAGCAGGAGAGCACTCTTTAAAGTAGAGACTCTACATACTGATATACACCTGAACATCAGCAGGAGAGGACTCTTTAAAGTAGAGACACTAAATACTGATATACACCTGAACATCAGCAGGAGAGGACTCTTTAAAGTAGAGACACTACATACTGATATACACCTGCACTTCAGCAGGAGAGGACTCTTTAAAGTAGAGACACTACATACTGATATACACCTGAACTTCAGCAGGAGAGCACTCTTTAAAGTAGAGACACTACATACTGATATACACCTGAACTTCAGCAGGAGAGCAC